AGAAAGAGGAAGAAGATGAGAGATGAAGAGAGAATGAGGGAAGAGGAAAGAAACGTATAGCAAGGTCATTATCAGTGCTTAAGGAAAAAGAAGAAGTGTACAATCATAGATTGTCACAGTTATGTACGATCAATATTTGATTATTCATCAGGTTCGATGGATTTATTTTCATTAACTTATAGAAATAAGATTCGAAGTTTGTCATGCGGAACGAAAACTGCTCTCACAGAAAATGATATATCTTGCGCATTAATAGTTCTCAAAAAAAGGCACCGTCTTTCTGTGCGTTGTATTAATGATATTGTATCTCTTTTTCAAAAACTGAATGTTTCAAATGTACCCGCAAGTTGGTATTACGAGAAAAAACTCCTTACATCTGCTCGACCTATTCCTTCTCAAACATTCGTTTGCCGTCAGTGCCATAGAGGATCGTCAAGCAACATCGTGTGCTCAAAATGCAATAGTCACTTTGATAGTGTGAACAAACCCAATTCTTTTCTATCGTTTTCGATTTATAATCAACTTGAACGAATTCTTAACTAAAACAGGGAAGTTTTTTCTACGCATCGTGGTCACATGACGTCTATGAGAGACATATGTGATGATGTGATGATGTAATATATCAAAAGTTACAGAATGATATTCAAGGATCATTCTTAACCTTGACCCTAAATGTACATGGAATTGCACCTAACAAAAAGAGAGCCAGCAAAACATATGGCCGATCTTATTGGTTATCAATGTTCTCCCATTGAAACAACGTTTTACGATACAAAACGTAATTCTAGCAGGAGTGTGGCCAGGTCCGAGAAAATCGTTGCGTTCAGACATGAGTATATTTTTTCGCGCTCTTGTTGAGGAGCTCGTTATGCTTGAAGAAGGTGTTATATTTAAAATAAACGACGACAATGACACTTCAGTTTTCACGCGAATTTTCCTGATTGGTGCTTGCTGCGACAAACCAGCACAAGCGCTATTGCAACATTTACCGGAACCCACAGCCGCATTTGACTGCGGACGTTGTGAAGTTCAAGGTAATCATTTGTTTCCACATGACAAAAAATATTCAAAATGAATACTTTAAGATTTCATGGTGCGAACAGAACACGATGATAATGTTAGAAGCTTTGCAATGATCTTAAATGCTATAGAGGAAACTGACCTACGGTCGAACACGCGATATGACAATTTGCTAAACTTAAAGTTGTTGCATGAGCAGATGCGCGAATCATTTTCAGGCGGGAAAAAGAAATCATTGATAGAACAACAAAAAGAAGCAGAAAAGGGTATACTCGGACCATGCATCTTAAGAGAACTGTCCTTTTTTTATGTTGGACGTGGCTTTATGGCTGATACACTGCATAATGTGTACATGGATGCATTTGTTAGTTGAACGTTTTTACGTTGTAACGGGATACACGTATTTCTTGTTATTTCAGAAGCGATTGATACCCCTATGGTTTGATTCTGATTACCGTTTTGAAGATTGGAGTATAAAAAGTCGGTTGAATGAACTTCAACTAGTTTTTCGTAAACTTCATCTTCCATCCAACACATCTCGATTACTACGCTGTCTTACATTATATTCAAAGTTTAAAGCAAATGAAATGAGAATTCTGTTGCTTTATGGATACGTTATATTCAAGAATATACTTGGAACAAAGTATTACAATCATTTTTTGAAACTTGTTTTAATGATGCATTTTATCCGAAAATCGACGAATTGATCCTTCGTATATAGATATTATCGATCGTCTTGGTAAAAGCTTTGTAGCAAAGTTTCCAAAACTTTATACTGCAAGACATTGTGTGCAAGTCGCTCATTCTTTGGTGTACATAGCTGACACTGTCCACGACTTTGGACCAGTTCATACCTTCACAACGTTTTAGTCCGAAAATGAACTCGGTAGAATTCTAAAAGAATCACTTTCTAAGACAAAGTTCTTTTAACATAGGTCTTCTCACGCGTATGACAAAAAGTACTAGAAGGCATGCACAAGAATTAATAAGTAATCTTCACCTTATGCAAGAAGCACATTGTCATTTGAACGGTCTGGCTGCTACGAACAATGATTTGGTGGACTATCTCTCAAAGGGATTCATCAGTCACCGAGATGGTAATCGATCGCAAAACTATCGATTGGGACACGCGAGTAAAAAGAAGGATTCATTAGTTCAACTTCTTTTCCCACAAACATCTATCAGTTATTACTAAATCGTTTATGTCGATGGAGTTCGTTTATGTACACGTGCTTATGCTCAAGGGAAATTTGCTGATGACTCCAATATAATATTTGTTCTTGATCATGTGCATTTTCTGGAAGAATTCGATCAATTTTTACCGTCAATGATGGCGAACATTATCTTTTTGTGGCGTACATTCCAGATCTAATCCCATTTACCTGTGAGGTAAATGCCAAGAAAACTTTGCCTATCACATTATCCTTTTCTCAAGAAGTTCGAGATGGAACCATGTTTCTGTCCACATTGAAGCTTTCATTGAAAAAATTGTTTTCTTCGGGGGTTCAAAAAATGTATCTCATTTTTTTCGACAGCGAACACTTCAGCATTCTTCGTAGTGTATTAGAGAACATTCACACATATTTGAATGTTTTTAAAAAAACAATTTGAAAAAGAGCTAATAAAAATAAAAAGAATCAGTTGCTACATAATATAAACTGCTGTCACAAGGCTTTCTTTCAACATGAATATATTGCTAATTTATATAACTCTAACAGTAAATAAGCAATACCACTGATTTATGGATTTCTTGTGCAGTCGATGATAATCAATTGGAAAAAGAATCGATTTTTGTGGATGAAGTGAGTCATTAATCGACTTTATGAGATTCAGAGAAGTGTAATTGATCATAATCGATGAAACAGGATTGATTTTCAATGATTTATAGGAAAAAATGGATTAAAATCAGAAAAACAATTTTAGAAAATCGAAAACTTGACATTTTAATCGGTTATTCCTAGCATAAATCTATTATAATCAACTAGTTGATTTTTATGTGATATTCTCTTTACTTGAGTTGGCTTGGGCAAACAAACTTTAACGATTTTAACAGCCCCTTTAGAGAGCCTACTATAACCCTTTCCTTCAGAGGAGGAAAAAACAACAATTGAAATGTAATCATTTTCTTTATTTAATCTTTGACTTGTAGATTCTTTTTCGTTGCTAACTGAAAAGGAAAAAGAATATTCGTTTTTCTTTGAAATTAATTTCGAATAATTTCAAATATCACAAATAAATATCTTTTTCTTTGAATTCGTTTTAATAAATAAAGAAAATAAGAATTTCTTCTTTAGTTTAATCAATTTAATTATTAAATCGAAAAACAAAACGAATCTTTTTCAAATAGAAATTCACAAATTTTGTTTTCGTAAAACATTATCTGTTTCATTGAAGGAAAAACAATGCACATTTTGATGAATATTTTACTTTGTTAGTTTATCTTTTCTTCTTAACAGGTTTCTACACGTCAAATTAGATTTCAATAAACGATTCAAGATAAGTTCTTTTATAAAAATGTTTTATTGATGATTTTTAAGTGGTTATTTAAAAAGTATTATGTTCGTCTTAAGAAAAATTAAAAAAGAAATTCTTTTTTCCTCGTTTTTATCCCTCGGTTGAAAGGAGGGTCATGTCGAAAAAAGTGGTCAAGAAAATGAGATTCGTTTTTGTATATGTCTGTCGCAGATCAAAGATCAAGTTGTATTGATATCAGCAAAACTCGATAAAACCCGGTTTGGGAGGGTTGTTGAGGGTGGATGTTGGTAGTAGGGGGTGAGGTGAGGGTTGGGGTGACGGGTTAAAGGTCAAAAAAGCATTTTCACCAAAAACGCGCAAAAGTCCACAAAACACGGTTGTACATAAAAACTCAGTGAAAACCGTATATATTGATCAAATACAAAACCAGTATCACGGCGATACTGTCTGTTATTCAGAAATTCCAGAAAAGACAACAACCAAGGAATCGATATTCGAAAAATGGTATACAAAAAAACTCCGCTAGAAACGAAGCGACACATAGGTGAAAGCAGCGATAGAGTAATCCACCAGCACCACGACACGATATTGTATGTTCCCCTACCATACTAGAAACTCTCTTTGTCGAGTATTGAAATATCACTGTCTACGCTTTGATGCGCCACAAACATAACTTTTAAGCTTTATCCTGACACTTCAAAAGAATTGCACACTTTAGCCATACAAGCAGCGCTGTAGTAACACAGGGAAATCAACCATATCAAGTAAACATGGACGAACATATAGAATATTCCCATATTCATCACATATCAACGCCTGAGACAGCGATCATCAAAATATCCAATACCTCTGAATGTCCTCAGAACCCAGGTCGAATCTCTTCAGAGTAGTATCTTCATCCTCATCGCTTCCACTAAACTCGATGGGATCCAAGCCAGACTGTTGCTAAGTACCGTACTCATCCTCAGCCAAGCACCGCAAAGCGATGAGTGGCGATCCAGCAGATCGTCACTCATCGCCTCCGCTAAATCAACGGACACCACTCTCTCCCCAAGCAATATCACCTTCCCTATCTACAAAACAAAACAGCCCAACAGTTCAGAATTAACAATCAAAACGCCTCCACAACCAATTGCTTCACATCCGACACTCACCTATAGACCTATATAGAAAAGGATGCAAAAATCTCTCTTCCTTCTTTTACGCAGCGTAATTCATAAGTCACCTTCTCTAGAAGACAGCACTTGTCTCTGTTCCGCACCTATCTCTACCTCACAGTTGAATACTCTGATTCAGCATTGAATTCTGCACTTTATGGAACAACTTGCAACTCGGTATGTCATACGAAGAAAAAATTCGTATTTCAAATCGAATTCTTCTCCGCTTGTGTGTACATGTGCGTGTATAGTGAATCTATGAACATGAACACGAGATTCTTGCTCCGTTAGAAAACGATTTCTGTCGTAAACGTTTAATATTCTGATTGACAGTTAAATCCTGCCATTGGTGCAACAGTTACCAGCTCGATATTTCAGAGAAATAAAGAATTCGTGTCCTGAATCGAATTCTTTTCAACTTGTGTCCACATGCATGTGAAAGTCGAATGAGCAGAGATAAAATAGAAAACTCCTCGCTGTTGAAAAACAATTTCTCTCCTGAACGGTGGATATTCTAACTCTGAATTTCACGATCTATCCCGTGAAACAATCACCGAACTGGTCTCTCCTACAGGGATGAAATTCATTTGAGAAAAAACTTTTTTTTCCGTTCTGTACATCTGTGCGTATTAGAGATAGATGGTCACAGTATTGTAGCAGTCTGTAGAAAGGTCCCGGTAGTGGAGACGAGGTGATTGAAGAACTTGAAGACATCGCCCTCCGATTAGTTGAGCAAACCAAGGACATCCTGTCTTTTGAAGTCCAAAAAGCACTACGTGCATCAAAAAGGAAATAAGAGTGCTGGATTAGACGAAATTCCAGCAGAGATGCTACCAGCTGAAGGAGAATCGCTAGCACGTGAAATATATCAGCTCTGTAATAAAGCATTGTATGATGGTACAATCCCCGAAGAATGGGACAAATCTATTTTAGTACCTAGACCCATATCTTGCAGAAGAATAGACAGGATTTAGGAGAGACAGAAGTACCATACGCCAGATTCTGATGCTTAGACTACTGGCCGAGAGAGCAAAAAGATAGGGAAGAAAAATCTATGAATGTTTCATTGATTTTCAAACAGCATTCGATACGGTCAAGCATAAAATAATTTAGGCTGCGCTAAAATCATATGGTGCTGATACAAAATGATTACACTGCTACAAAATATCTGTGAAAAGTCACAGTCAGCTGTTCGAATTGGTAATCATTATGGCGAGTGGTTTCAGACGGACTTAGGAACAAGAGAAGACGATCCTCTGTCACTACTCCTCTTCATCGTATATCTCAAAAGAGGAATGGATCAGGTGAGGCAGAACACCTGCGGAAAAAATGTCAGTGGAATACTTATAAACAACCTAAGGTTCTTCGATGGCGTTGGTTTCATTAATGAAGATCTTTGCTCACTTCAACGCTAAGTTGAGCTAACAAAGACAGCGGCTGAACAGTCTGGACTTATAGTGAATAATTATACATAAAATCAGAACTATGGTATTTGAAGACAGGAGTATCGAAAATAAGATACAAGTAGCAGCAGGTGGCGTCATAGAGAATGTAGAAAAATTCGAATACCTCGGCAATTCAATCACTTGGGATAATAACTGCTCGGAGGAAATCAAAAGGCAAATAAGAAAAGCGACAGATGCACTATCTCCATTAAAACATACTTGGAATAGCAAAAAACTGAGGATAGATAACAAACTACAACTCCTAAATACCTCTGTCATCAGTATCCTATTATACGCTTCAGACACGTGGACTTCGAAAGAAGCGGACAGGAAAAAAATATTGGTACTCGAAATACAATGTTACCGATGGATCTAAGAATAAAATGGCGGAGCATGATACGAAACGCAGATATCCGAAGAAAGATATCAAGAAAGGAGACGATAATCGACACCATCAAAATGTGGAAGCTGCGGTTGTTTCGCCACATCTTCTGAATGAATGATAGAAGATTGATAAAACGTTTGCTCTTCGGAAAAATGGATGGAAAGTCTCGACGGGGCGCTCATGAAGAGAGCGCTTGGACGACATAACTGACGAGGGAACCGTCCCAACTGTCCAATCGCTTTTGA